CCCTACCTGTCTGCTCCGTCGCCGACTCAGCGCCGCGGGCTGACCGCGCGCCCGTCCAGCCCGCCATGCACGCTGTGCCCCGTGGCTTTGGCAAGAAGGTCCGCATCGGCGTGCAGTCCTGTCCCCACCCCTTCTCCGGGCAGGCGGGCCCGCAGCCGTCCTCCGTGTTCTGGTCGCTGCTGAAGGACGTGCCCTTCCTGGAGCGCCTGGAGCTGATCGGGTCCAACTTCTCCTCCGCCATGCCGCGCAACGAGCCCGCCATCCGCAACTCCCTGCCACCCTGCAGCCGGGCGCAGAGCGTTGGGGACTCGGAGGTGGCCGCCATTGGCCAGCTGGCCTTCCTGCGGCACCTGACGCTGGCCCAGCTGCCCAGCATTCTGACGGGCTCCGGGCTGGTGAGCATCGGCCTGCAGTGCCAGCAGCTCCAGTCCCTCTCGCTCGCCAACCTGGGCATGATGGGGAAAGTGGTCTACATGTCTGCCCTCTCGGACATGCTGAAGCATTGCAGGCGGCTGAAGGACCTCAGGTAAGGGGGCCTGGCAGCTCCTCTGTGGCCTCTACTGGCCCACTGGGGGCCCTAGGGGCAGCGGGGGCTGGGAGGAGTGAGTGAGGGGCATGGCCTTTCGTTCAGCAAGCATTTGCTTACCTGCTGTGCACCTGCCGAGACTAACGGGGTCCTGAGTCTCAGGAGTGGGGGGCCTGACAGGAGACCGTGCAGTAGCAGGGCACAGGGGGGCAGAGGGCTTGGGGGCAGTGGTTGGTGGAGCCTGGGCAGGGTGTGCAGAAGGCGGTGCTGTGTGACCGTGGCTGTCTGAGTGCTTGCGCTGGGCAATGCTGCCAGGTCTATAATCTTGTTTAGTCCTTGTGACCATCCCACGGGGTCAACTTGCTCTTACATAGAGCAGAGTTGGTGAGTGCGGGAGCCAGGAGTGGAAACCAGGGCTTCTACCCAACTTGGCGCCTCTTGAAGGTTGGGCCGGAGTCATCCAGGAGATGGGGGCCCAAGGCTTTCTGGGAAAGTAGGCAGCCTGTGCAGAAGCCCCAGAGGCTCACAGATACGCCATGTACTCAAAACCCACGTGGTTCTGAGGGGAGAGGGGGCGCATCAGGTGAGGTGGAGGTGGTGAGGGACTTCAGCCCGCAGAGGGAGGGGCTGAGTTCCAGTTTGGAAAAGTCCCTCTGGGGTCCCAGCTGGGCTGGAGGGGCCAGGATGGAGGAGGTGGAGGGATGGGCTCAGAACACGGGCTGTTGCCTGTTGAGATGGGACAGTGGCTGGAGCAGGATGGCCGGGCTGACCTGAGTCTGGGGCAGGGGAAGCTGTAGACCTTGGGCAGCTCCCCTGCCAGGCCGCTGTCCGGGGGCCACTGGCAGGGTCCAGAGCCCAGATATGAAGATGCTCCAGCAGGACTGTGCCGTGGAGTGAGGGCCCAGCATCTAAAGGGTGAGCCTTCATTAACTGAAGACTTGATAATCTTGGCAGATCTGATCTTAAAAAACTGCATTGTTGCCCAGAAACTCTGCAAAATGTTGTGGGGGCCTTGGACCTCAGCTGTACGAGGGCTTCAGGTAGGGGAGGAAGTGGCGGCTGGGCTTCGATCAATTAGCTGGTCTCGTAGGCTGGAGCTAGTGGGACAGGTGGGTGGGGGAGGCATTGGGGCCCAGGACATGTGTGCGTCCTTGTTCTCGCGTCGGTCAGCTCTCACTCTGTCTTTGGCCCAGGGCTTTCAGGCCCTGTCTGGTTTGACCTGCACACCAGCCAGGAGGCCGGCCCCTTCATGCACCTGCTTCCCAGGGAGGCAGGGGACGCTTGAGAGAGGGGCTGAGATCCCCCCAGGCTGTCTGAGTCCAGAGCTTGCTCTTGGCCCTCTAGCCACACACAGTGGAGATGAGTGCTTCCTTTTCAGACCTCCACTCTCTCCCTCAGAAGGTGTCATGTGACAGGAAATGAACCAGCCAGCAGCGTGCTTCCCTGCTCCAGCCTGGAACCTCTCCAAGCCCTGCTGCACCTGGCACAGCACACACGCTGCTTCCCAAGTTCCTTCTGGTCTTAGGGCGAGGGCCCGGGACCCAGCCCCAGCCTTCCACCTGGCCTGGGCCCTCTCCTGCCACATGGAGTCGGTTGGAGCAGGGAGGGGCTCTCACTGCAGCCCCTTCACCACACTTTGCAGGATGGGCCCAGGCCTCCCATTTTGGAAGATGCTGTCCTCCTCCTTGTCCTTCTCTCAGTGCCCTCTTTTTGCTGATTTACTTCTACCCAGAGCTTCCTCCCACCTTGTCCCTCCTGTGCCTTCACTGTCACATCAGTGGCCTTTCTGGAGGGAAGGGTGATAAGTATGTGGTTGGTGGGCCGTGCCTAACTTGAAGCTGCAGGTGGATCACAAAGTACATTCAGCAAACGAAAAACTACTAGGTCTGCTATCCTGTTACCTTGTTGGAGTCTCTCGATCAGGAATTGTATGTTCCTTAGTTTGGGGAGCTGAGTGAGTGTTTCAGTTAGAATTTAACTAAATTCAGAGCCAGGGTTTCTGGATCTGTCATGTTTGGCCTCCGTTTTTTAGCTTTCTTGCCAACCCATTAGACCTTGGACCTTGTCTAACCATACTGTGGTCAAACCACTTGGTCATCATTGAGGAGTGTTTGATAAAAAGCAATCAGTAACGGTAAAATAACGTAATACATTCATGTAAACAGTTGGAGTGCTCAAAGGCAGATAATGAAAACTGGCCTCTCTCCCAGCATCCTCTCTGCCTCATGTCCACAGTCTCATATTAAGTGTCTGCTGCCTGCAGAGCCACCTGGAGACTCACCTGGGCTGCTGGGTTCGTTGCACTGGGCCCGTACTCGTTCCCTTCAGGACTGTTCTGCCCGTAGAGAGGGAAGTGGGTGTGGCGCACGAGCTGGTTCGTGTCGCTGCATCTCATCCTCCTGCAGAAGGTGGGCCCTAACTGCCCCTGCCTCTGGGGTGGAGGGCGGTCCCATGGGGCAGGACCCACAGCAGGGGCCCTGGAGTCAGAAGGCCTGGGTGGACCTTGGGCTGTATGTGCCCAGGCCCTTTATCTGTGAAGTATGGTTGTTGAGACCAAAAGGACTCGTTCTTACGAGGCGCTGAGAGCACCTGTAACACACGTCGTAGTTCTTTTTCCAGTCACCAAATACCTGAGCACCTCTTAGGCCAGGCTCTGTTCTGGGCACCCAGGACACGGGACAGAGCAGAGACCCTTGTCCTTGGGGAGCTTGCATCCTAGTGGGGAGAAGTGATCGACAGTGAACGTAGAAAGTGAAGTGTGTGGTATGTCAGAGGTAAGAAATGCTGGGGAGGAAAAGCAGAGCAGGGCGTGAGGGACGCCTAGCGCGGGGGCAGCTGGGGTACGTTTTGTGAAGAAGCTGAGTTCTTTGAGCAAAGAATTCAAGGAGCCAAGTTAGAAAGCAGAACCTGGGGGAAGAATGTTCCAGGCCAGACGAATGGAGCCGGTCAGCCAGTGCAGTGTCCATGAGACATGGGGGCGACTTACATTTAAATGAATTACCATGAGATGAAACCAAGCATCCAGTTCCGCAGTGGCATCAGCCACCTGTCAGGTGCTCAGTGACTGCACGTGCTGAGGCCGCTTCCCTGGACAGAGATATATGGAGCACTCCTGTCTGCACGGGAGGTTCTGTTGGACAGAGCTGAATAGCGCCAAGGCCCTGAGATGAGTGTGCTGGGGTCTCTCAGGAGCAGCCAGGGGCCTGGGCAGCTGAAATGGCACTTCTGAGGAAAGGGAGGCAGGTCGCGCTGCTGTGTTGAAAACAGGCGTGGGCAGGGCAGCCCAGGCCTGTGTCAGACATTCAGTGAGTGACCTGGTGACAGCGGGCTTTGTGGTGTAGCCAGAAATGCCAGACTTTGGCTTCACGGAGAGTTTGCTGATTGATCGGGTGCATGGGGTGGGCAGACAGGCAAGGTGGGTCCTGGTGGTGCTGAGGCTTCTGGCCCAAGCAGTTGAACTGACGTGCTGCCATCAGCCGAGAGAGGACCACAGGGGTGAGGCTGCGCACGTGCACGTTGGAGGAGCCTGCACCCCGTGCACAGACTGGAGAGACCCCCCCAGCAGGAGCTGGTCAGGACGGGGACGAATCAGCAGAGGAGACTGAGAGGAGCTCTCAGGGAGGGAACAGGGGATGGACCTGTTCTGGAAGCTACAGGAAGAGACGCAGTGGCTGCCGCTCTTGGCTTGTGTCTGCACGCGTGACGGCTGCCAGGTGCTCTACCCTGCTTATAGGTGTTTGCCCTTTTAACGCCCCCGAGAGTGTAGTTATTGTCCCACTTTGCAGAGAGGAAGGTGGGGCCCAGAGGATTAATGAACTTGCTCAGGTGACACAGCTGGTCTTCAGGTAGCTGGGAGTGCATCCTGCCTCACGGGTCTGTTGGATGGTGAATGGGGTAACCTGGCAGCACTGAGTGGTCGCCGAGTGGCATCTGGGTCTGGGATGTGGTCCTTGTGGCCCAGGCCTTCCCTGGGAGCAGGGCCGGGCAAGCAGCGTGAGTTTTGAGGCCTACAGCGCCTGGAGGGCTCAGGAGGAATGGGTTTTGTGGGCCAGGCTGAGAATCTGACCGCCCGCCACACATAATGGCCCCTCTGTGCACGCTGGCTGCTGAGACCACGTCTGATCAGAGCCGGGTACTGCCTGTCCAGAACAAACACCAGTTTCTAGAACTTGGCCAAATGGCCCCGTTCTTCTGGATTCCTGCCTTCTGGGGCAAGCGGAGCCTGGGAGGAGGCTGGAGTGAAAGGAGCAGGTGGTGCCATCCGCCGGGGGCAGGCACTTGGGAGAGGCTGGCACACCGCTGCCAGGGCTTGCCTCCCTGGGCAGCACCTGTGCTTCCCCGCGGGGTGTTCCTGAGCTGGCGGCCCTCAGGAACCCAGGTTGGCCGGCCACTGCCCCTGCTGTCCCCGTCAGTGAGGTCGGTGAATCAAGTTCTGTGTCAGCCGGGGCTCCTGGTGGGCGCTGCCTCCGCACAGTCAGGGCAGCCCCCGCAGGAGGCGGAGTCGGGACACATCATCCTGCTGGGGCCTCGCCAGGCTCTGGATTCTGGCCACACCTCGACAGGGAGAGTATTTCAAGTCGGACAGAGAAGGGCACCTTCTTTCCCAAGACTGAAGGGAGGGGGAACGTTGCCCTGAGTCACCCTGGGCCTCCCCTGACCTCAGAACCAGGGCAGCATCCAGGCGGAAGCGAGAGGCCTTCTTGGAGCCGGGCCCTGGAGGCTGTCCCAGGGCTGCCCCCAAGGCCTGGGTGCTGCTCAGAGCGGGGTCTGCCAGGTGGGCAGGCAGATGAGCAGGGCGGCCCTGAGCACCTGCCTGTGCCCACAGAGCTGTGGGGAGACCAAGTCGTCTCGGGGTGTGGGCTTTGGAGGCCAGGTCCTTCCTGGTTGGGCTAGAGGCCCCCCCAGGACAAAGCCAGTCCTGGTGGACGCCTCTTTGTCCCCCTCTGCCCTAAACGCGACACTGCTGGTCACTTGCGTCAGATCAGCTCTGCCAGCCCACCACGTGGAGCAGGGGAAGGTGTGGACGTGCCAGCCTTGCCCCCCTCTCCACAGCTGGTGGAATGGACAGGATACCCCCCCCAGGACTGCCCCACCCTGAATGCCTGTGACGGGGGTTCCTTAGAGGACAAGAATCTGGAGGTGCCTGACAAGTCGAAAGAAATGTTTAAAAGCAGCTCCCCAGCTCTCCCCCGGCTCTCTGCCTACTTGGGTAGCAGGATTCTCCAGCAGGTCGCACAGACCCCTGTCGCCCCCTGGTGACCAAGGTGCTGCAGGGCTGTTTCTTCCACCGGCCCGCGCCAGTGCTGCCTCCTCGCTGCTCTGGGTCCGACTGGTGGGGACTGGGCAGCTCGGCAGCCCCGGGTGAGGGCTCTTTGCCCCCCTCCGGTTTTCCCACTTTCAGGTCTACAAAGGGATGCTCACTTGAGGATTTAAAAAAAATACAGAACTGAATAATGTGTTCGAACATTTTCTCAAGAAATGTGCTTCTCTGGACATTTGGGCTCAAGTGGCTCAAGGCCTCCTTGTCCATGGCTGCGGTGAATCGGGCCCCCCACACGGGCCCTCAGCCTGATGGGCCCCACTCTCGGATCTCTTACCTTCCTGGTTTGTTCAGGGATCAGATTCACTGAGTGGCACCCGGGGGTGAGGCATCTCTGACCACCACGGCTGCTCCAGGGCCCTTGCCCTGGTGTCTGTGCCCGAGAAGCCCAGCCAGGGGGCTTCCTTCCTGCCACCCCTGGAACTCTTGTGGGGAGAGAACGTGAGGCTTTTCAAAATCCCACCCCAGGAGGACCTGGTCCCTCTATGATTATCATTAGGAGCTTCCCAGAACTTCTGCTTCACACAGTTAAATTAAGCAGCCTCACTGCCGCATCTGCGTGACTGGGGGCTCCCGTCCAGGAGGCGCAGAATAGACATCTGTCATCATAGACCTGGTTTTAAGCCCCTTCCCCCTGTGCTGTGACTTGTTGGTGTCCCTGGGGGTCAGGGCGATGCAGGCTGGAGCGCAAGGCCCAGGGCTCTCGCTTGGACCTGTGGACGGCCCCTCCCCTGCTCCAGGTCGCCCTCTCCCAGAGTATTGCTGCGCTCAGAGCACTTGGCTGTTCTTTCACCCAGGGGATGACTCTGTCCCCAGCGCAGGCCTGCTGCCTTTCCGGGGTGGGTGTGGGCCTTTTCTTGCTCACTCTGGAAGCTTCTCTCCTTTTATGACGAGAGCCCAGAGCTTCAGACCACCTTCTCAGGTGCGTCCCAGGAAGTTACCAAGCTGGTGTCATCAGTTTACGGTGGGAAACAGGACTCATGGGGTTCCCTGTGGGTCTTGCACATAGAGGGAGGTCTTGCCGGCTGCCCTGTGCACCCAGAGGGTATGTGTCTGTCCCGTGGGCAGGACCAAGGCTCAGAGAGACCCATGGTCTCAGGTCTGACACCAGGTGTGTACCAGGAGTGACTTGTGCAGTGCCTGGGCCTTGGGTGGTGGCCAGGCTCAGAGGAGACTCAGAATGTCAAGGGAAGAGGACAGTGTCACCCTGGCATGTGGCAGTGTCCCCACAGTGCAGGCCACAGCCAGGCCGAGCACTGTCCTGCGCTTGGCTTCCAGGGTCTGGTTGCTTGTGAGGGAGGCACGAAGTCCTTCAGTGGCCTTGGTGGCTCATTGAGAGAGAACCTTACCTGGTGCCCGGTGGCCGCCCTTTAAAGTGGCCGCATTTTCAGGCGTCAGGCTCAGGCGCTGCTCCCTGCAGTGCAGTGTGCCGCCGGCTTTGAAGCTGCTCTGGCCAGGTGACCGGGGACTCCCCACAGCAGTCAGACCGGGTGTTTGAGGGCGTCAGGTGATGCACGTGCGTGACTGAGAGGGGCTGAAGGACGCGAGGGCTGTGAAACAGACACGCCTCCCGGTCTGGTTCTGACCTCCGGGGGTAGCCCCCGTCTTCCTGTGCTTCCTTCTGGGAAGATTCTGGGCGGACAGGCTACGCGTTGGTCTCTGTCTGTAAGACCGTCTTGAGCTTTCTGCGTAACTTACGTGGAACCGTGCTCTGCCAGTGCCTCAGCTCCCATCCCTGGCTCTGTTAGAGTCCTGGGGCGTCCCTGACGAACGACCACAGCCTGGGTGACTGAAAACAACAGAGTCATCCTCTTATAGTTAGGCCAGATGTCCAAGGTCAAGTGTCAGCCAGGTTCGTTCCTTCTGGAAACTCTGGGTGGGAGCCTGTTCCAGGCCTGTCCCCCCGCTTCTGGCAGCTGCTGGCAGTGCTGCGTGTTCCTTGTCTTGTGGCCATGTCACTCCAGTCTGCCTCTTGTCACATGGAGAGCTCCCCGTGTGTCCCTGCATTGCTGTGCCTTCACATGGCCTTCTAAGGACCCCGGTCACTGGACTGGATCCCACCCCAATCCTGCCTGACCTCGTCTTAACTCGAGTGCATCTGCAAAGACTGCTTCCAAATGAGGCCGCGTGTACAGGTACCGAGGGTTAGGACTGCAGCAGACCTTTTGGAAGACACAGTTCAACTCCCTGGCTCCCCTCCCCGTCCTGGCTCTTAGGCATCCTGAGCAGGCGAATGCAGTGGGCTCTGGGTTCCAAGCAGCGACTTGGCTGGCTCTGTGGGTAGCTGGGTGCACAGGCCTGCAGGCCTCCCCACAAATCGGGGTCACTGGGGAGACCCGGGGGTCTGAGTCCTCACCCAGCACGCCCTGGGCCTGTGGAGACGAGGGGCATGGGGACAGCTGGTCTGGGCCCTCTTGAGCATCCAGAGACGTGCTTGGGGGCCCGGACCAGGAGCCCACGGACCTCATGCCCCTGTCCTCTCTCCCCACAGGCTGGAGCAGCCCTACTTCAGTGCCAATGCCCAGTTCTTCCAGGCGCTGAGCCAGTGCTCTGCGCTGCAGCGCCTGTGTCTGGTGTCCCGCAGCGGCACCCTGCAGCCTGAGGCCGTGCTGGCCTTCATGGCCCGCTGCCTGCACGTCGTCGTGTGCCACCTGTTCACCGGGGAGTCCCTCAGCACCTGCCGGAGCCTGCAGCAGTCCCTCCTGCGCAGGTGAGTGGGCATCACCGTCCCCACGGCCTGTCCCTGAAGGGGTCTGGGTCGCAGATCCCCCCTCGGCTTCCCTTCGGGCCCGACAGTCATTTCTCAGCATTAAGAAGTGCTGGGCAGGGCTGGGGTGAGGACAGGGCTGGCCTCTCTTCATGGCAGAGCTGCCTCTCCCCAGACCCTCTCTCTGCCCCGTGGGCAACTTTCTGTGTAGTTGGAGCTGCCCTTCGGGTGTGGTGGGACCCAGTTCATCATCCAGCCTCTGGTCGTGTAACCTCCCATGTCCCGTGGGGCAGTCGTCACAGCTGGGGTGAGCGTGGTGCTGCCGGTCCGCCTGCAGCCCTTAGCATCCCGTCCGTCTCCCCATCATGTCCTCCTCCGGTTCAGGATTCACTTCAGAGCCTTCGTCATGCCTGGCTGTCGGTCTCTCTAGCCCTCTAGGCCGTGCCGGTCTCAGGCTTTCCTTGGCTTCCATGACCTCGGCACTCCTGGAAAGCGCTGACCAGGTGCCTGGTAGAATGTCTCTCCATTGGCGTTTCTGTTAAAAACAGCGAGTTTGTCCTGTCGCCTCTGATTCCAGCCCTGCGTCCCAGGATCATCGCACCCTGCCCCTGTCTGTCCTGCAGTCTGTCCCTCCAGCAGCAAATAACCTGCTCTCATCACCCATGGTGTGTGTGCTGACGTGTCCTCTGAGTGGCCAGCCGCCGCCCTGGGAGGCAGGTCTGCTGCCTGAGGTGACACCTGCGCCTGCTCCCTGGTTTTCGCCTTGTGGGCTCTGGTCAGAGCACTGCCCTCGGGGCTCCTCAGGCCGGGAGTCTCTGCCTCCCCCAGCGTGGTTGGGCTCCTCGTTCACTACTGCCTCACCTCCATTTTGTGTCCACACCGTGGCCTGCTTTTCTTTTCTCTTTGGTATTTGCAGCCCCACTGAAGTTGTGAGGGTCAAAGCCATATAAGGGGGTGATGCTTGGACCTGCGCTGCCCCTCAGCCCTCCTGCCTGCCCCCCGCCACGTCCCCCTCCTTCCACATCGTTCCGCCCAGAGACAAGCGGTCCCAGCTCTGGTTCGCCTCCTGAGCAGATGCGTGAACGTTTTCTCCTGTCCCCGCTGTCTTAGACTTGGTTTGTTTTTTTACTTCACTTACTTCATACAGTTCTTCCTCATTCTTTTTATAGCTCTGTATGGCTTGTGTATGTGTGTGTGTGTGTGTGTGGTAAAATACACATAACAAAATTTACCGTTTTAACTGGTTTTTTTTTTTAAATTTGAAGTGTTTTCATCATTCCGAGCTGAGACTCTGTCCCCAGCCCCATCCCCCTGCCACCATCCACCCTTCCGCCTTCTGTCTCTACGCCAGGGGCCTCCTGCGAGTACAGCCACATAGTATTTGTCCTTTGGGTCTGGCTTTTTCTGTATTCCTTTCGACGTTTAAGGGACTTAAAAAACAGAAACAAAGGATCATCACATATGGCTTGAAATAAAGCCCCTTTGACTCCCTGAACCTCCCAGTGTGGGGTTACTTTCTAAATTTGGAACATCCATCCCCGTACCCACGAGAAGCACAGCATTTTGCGCCGTGTGCTCACAGCCTCCGTGAGTGTGTGGTGTTGCGGCGGGGAGCGGCCCTGGGGCACATCCCGCATCGTTTTGAGGCCTGTGGTTTGTGGCTCGTGTGCAGCTGGTGCGTCCCTGTGAAGCGCCGTGCGGGGACAGATCCCTTCTGCTGTGTGTGTTCTGTTGATGAGATCCTGGTTATTCCCCTATTTCTCTAGCCCAGTGGGCATCCCTGTGCGTGCTTCCTGGGGTGCAGCGTGCAGGTTCCTGGAAGCGGCAGAGCAGGGTGTGTTTGATAGATGCCCAGTTGCTTGCTCTCCAGGGTGGTTCTTGCCGGCCCAGCCTCCACCAGCGGGTGCAAGAGTTCTTGGCCCACGTCCTTGCCTGTCCGGGACACTGCCAGGCTTTCCCGGGTCTCCTGGGGGAGCAGGTCCTGCCATCTGAGCCTGCGTCTTGTCTGTTCCCAGGGGCATCATTACTCAGTCATGACTCCTTGTCTGTGATCATCCCTTCAGCTCCCTCGGGGCTCGGCTGTGGGGTTGCTTTCGGGAGGGGCCAGGGAGCTTGTCTGCGAGAGGCTGCACTGGCGTCCCATCGCCAGGTCCACGTCCTCAGGTCCTGGCCTTCCCTGCCCACCTGTGTCCACTGCTGACTCATGCTACAGCTGTGGATTTAGTGACACCCCCAAATGGCCAGATCTTCCTCTTAAGTCGGCTGCTTGTCCTGTAGCCTGGTCTGAGAACCCAGGTAGCAAAGCCTCTTGGTTTGTGAGAAAGATACAGCTGACTGGCCTTTGAGTGACAGCCACAGGGAATCTTCCTGTGACTGCCGGGTATGAGCTTGGCTGCTGCCGGTGCCGGAGGTTCAGAGACTTCCTGCAAATGCAGATCCCGCTGACTGTTTGTTAACTGAGCCTGTTGCCAGCTACCTTTGGTCAAGTGCATATCCACTGTCCGCCAGCAGGGAGTGGTGAACTTGGTTCGTAGGGAAGCAGGTAAACGAAGTGATGTCCATAGGGTCTGCTTCAGCAGAAAGTCGAAATTCGATGACTTCTCTCCCCGGTGTGCCTCTGTAGTTCCTGCAGATGGTCCCCTGGTCCGGGGGGGGTCTATGTGAGGGCCGCTCACGTCAGTGTAAAGACCCTTGGGATTTCTCAGCCTTCCAGCTCACACTGGAGAAATCAGGGAGGGGTGGAATTTAAGTCTCAAAGTACTTGACTGCAGTTAGCTAATAATAGGTTACTCATCCTCTGTCTTAAGTTGTCCTAAAATGACTCATGTGAAGTCAGCCGTTACGAGGGCCGAAGGGTGTGCACCAGAGGGTGTCTGTACTGAGGTCCTGTGCGATGCAAAGGTCTTTTTTCTTTTCTTAAATAAGAGAAGATGGTATTTTTAAAGATACACATAACTTCAAGTTTCTTCTTTTAACCATTTTGAGGCGTGCCATTCAGTGGCACCGAGTCCGCTGACAGCGTCGTCCGGCTGCCGCCCCACCCGTCTCTGAACTTGTTCATCTTCCCAAACTGAGGCTCTGCCCCCACTAAGCATGAGCTCCCCATCCAGTACCCCCGGCCCCTGGGGGCCTCATTCCACTGCTGTTTCCATGAACTGATGCAGAGGACTTGTAAGTCTAAGTTTTCCATGTCTCTGCTCTTTGTTTGGGTTTATCTAGAAGCAGCGGTTGCTTGGGGGGCTGTGGGGAGAGGCGAGGATTTGGAGCAATCCTCCCTCCTCGTGGGGCTGCAGGTCCCCTGTGTTAGGGGCCTTTGTACAAGGTGTGCGACCTCTTGTCTGCTGTACCCTGCAGACCGGGCCCATCTTCCCCTAGTGAGTCCTGGCGCTTGACAGCTGGTCCAGCTCCACTTAGATGGAGCCCAGGGTTGGAGCGGGTCTGGAGCAGCGCTCAGGGAGTGAGGACTTGGTGCCTCTCTTCAGCGCTGCCCCCGGCAGAGGCCTGAGTGTGGCCTGGAGGGTGGCAGCTTTTCTCATCCAGCTTTTCTTTTTAAAAAAAATTTTTTTCATTGAAGTACAGTCAATTACAGTGTGTCAACTGGTGTACAGCACAATGTCCCAGTCATCCATGTACATACATATATTCGTTTTCGTATTCGCCCAGCATTTCTTGTCCCGTGGGCAGGGGAACGTGACAGGGAGGAATTACAGAAGCACCATCAGCCAGGAGGTCCCCAGAGTCACAGGCTCCAGCCGTCCTGCCGGACGGGCATCATGGTGGGCACTTGTCTTCTCAGGAGAAGTCCTGGCTAGAGGTTCCCCTCCCTGGTGCTCATAGTGTTTCTTAAAATTTAGAATAGGCATCAAACTATTTTTCTTTAATTTTATTTCTTATTGAAGTGTGGTTGATTTTGCGTCAAAGTGTTTTTGAATGAAAGCTCCCTGTGGTCCCAGCAGCCGGCACGGCCGGCAGACCAGGGATGGAGGCGTTGTGTGTTCTGCGTTCTGGTTTCTTGACTTAATGCTACGTTGTCGGTGTCTTTGTCATTCTGTAAAGCTGCAGACAGTTGTGTTTAATGCCGTCTGGGCCCCGTCATCAGGGCCTTGTGGTGGCTCTGGTCTGGCCCACATAACTAACTCTGTGTGTCCTTGACTGTCCCTCACTTAGGCCTTGTTTTTTTCCAGCTGCGGAGCCTGGGGAGCGGCCGGGTGTGGGCGACGGCCAGCACTTGGCGCACTGTTTTCCACTCACCGTCTGTCTCCACCCCTCGGCATCCGCGTTCTGCACGATGGAGCTGATGCTGACGGCTGGGCTGAAGGGGGTTCAGGCCGGATGGCACCCAGGCATGGGGGCTTTGGGGTGGACGGTAGCTGTTGGGGAACCAGGATGCTGGACAGGTGGTGCGGCCGCTCCGCCCATTGCTCTCCCTCCTCCCACTCTCTGCCCACTGGTCTGGCGGCAGGTGGAGGAGGAGGAGGAGGCTGCTCCTCTCGGGTGCGGGGATGAAGACGTGGCTGTGCCCGGCTCTGCCCTCACAGATACCCCTCACCCTCCCCACTCACAGTGGATCCTATTGGTGGGGCGCCGACACCTCCCTCCCTGGTGGACAGGTTCTGCCGGAGGGGCTCAGACTGGCCTGTCAGCCCCCTCCTGTGTCCGAGCCAGGAGCTCCGGGATCCGTGTGGGTTTCTAACACTTCTCAGCCCTGGGGGGCGCTCCTGCCATGGGGGAACCGGCTCTGGGCATTGCTGGTTCTCCCACCGTGTGTCCCCATGGGAGCCTCTCCCGGAGGAGAGCGTGTGTGAGGGCACCAAGCAGTTCAGAGAGCTGTGCTTGTGGCGGAGAGGGCTGGGGCACTTCTCACAGCATCGTTAGCAGGTGAAGCTGCTTTGTCCTTCCGATCCTCAGAATCCTTCTCGACACAGTGCTCTGGGCCAGTCGGTCGGTTTGGCACTGGGTGCTGCTCCCTGCCCTGAGCTGCTCGTTTTCAGTCGGTTCTGTTC